ATCTGAAATGGATTGACTCTATTTTGATAATAATAAATTCCAAAGAATTCAACCTCTAAGCAACAACATAGAAGTGTTGATGTTAGCTTGATTGTATGCATCAGCAATCAACATGATCATTCAAGCTAAGGTTGATTAGCTTACCTTCAATATGATGATATCCTTCAATATATCATTTATTACTTCAGCTTCAGCACTACATGACTCTAGACCAGTGTTTCTCAACTTTGGCAACTTTACGATGTGTGGACTTCAACTCCCAGAATTCTCCAGCTAGCATTGCCAAGGTTGAGAAACACTGCTCTAGATTAACATTATTGCCTTAATACTTATATTCTTACCCATTATCCACTAAGAAAGCTGCATGCAGAGGTTTACTGTCTCCTAATGACCTAATGCAGTCAGGTGACCAGCAATGAGTATGATCAGAAACGTGCCTTGGGATTGTCAAGAGAAAGAAGCAAGGACCAAGCCTGGTCCCTCTGGTCACTACCATTTGCCACCATCCTTAGCACTTTATTTCCACTGTTCTTTTCATAATATCCTCTTTACCAACCTTTTTGGTTTCCAACAAGGTAGACAGCAGTCCTCTTTTCATTTATAGCACTAGCAATAACACTTAGACTTATTTACAAATGTCAGCATATTGCCCCCCAACAATCTGGGTCTTCATTTTACCAACCTCGGAAGGATGAAGGGTGAGTGAACCTTGAGCTGGTCAGGATCGAACGCCTTTCTGTGGCAGAGTTAGCCTAAATACTGCATTCTAACCACTATGCCACTATGGCTCTTTATGGAAGAGGAACAGTGTTTGTGTTTATTTGCCAGATTCCCTGGATTTGCCATTTTCAATCATAATCCCACTTTCCTCTGAAGTAAGGGAGGTAGTTTACCAGCAGGTAGCTTTAATTTTAGCTAATTGCACAATCGTGGTCACCTCCCTTTAAATGCCACATTTTAACTTGGGAGATAACCAAATGTGAAAAGGAACAGAAAGAATATTTTAAAGAAGACATACATCTTGTCTGGATTACTGTACTGCAATGTGTTTTATATGGGGCTGCCCTTAAAGACCATTAGAAAGCTCCATTGGTTCAGAGGGCAGCAATGTGAATAGTTATGGGTGCCCGTGTATTCTGCAGCTTCATGAGCTGTACTCCTCCCAATAAGCTTCCAAGTGCAATTCTAGATGCTAGTTGTCACCTTGTCGCTTTCCTGGTACAGGGCCTGATTACATTTGGGATTTCTTATCTGACTATTTCTGATAAACTGATATGAACTGACAGGCTGAGTTTGCTCTCTGTCCTATCACTTAAGCAGTGTGATCTGTTGCAACCCTGCAGCCATTTTTATTTTTTTTAACTTTTGCAACAGTTGTCCTCATGGAACAGTATTTTCCCCAAGATTTGGATGGCTTCAACCCCTACCTTTTGGAATCCTCTGAAGATCTGATCCCCCCACAAGCATGGGATCAGGAAGTTTTATGGCAATTTTGATTGTAGAGTCCTTGATGTCCCTTGAGCTTGATTGTTTTCTTGCATCTGCAAATTAGGTAGTATCATCAGCCTTAGAAGAGAATGGGGTTTGCTGTTTTTATATATTACTGGCTTGCCCTGCCAGTATTGATTGGCATGTTCTTGGTGGTTCTTTGTAGGCTGTTTACTGTTAACTTGTTTGTCTGAGTTGGTAGTTCCTTTATGGGTGTGTGTGTGTATTATTCTTGATTGTTGGTCCAGTGTTAATTTTAGTGTTAATCTCTGCTCATCTGGGTGTTGTCTGCTGATGAGGAGGTATTGTGGTCTTTTTGTTTCCTTTTTGGCTTTTTTATTGCCTCTTTTGATGGTATGTAGATATTCTTTATCTCTATGTCAGTGCCAGGCTTTTGATTTTGTTTTAGTTGTTTGATGTTGCCTCTTGGTGCAATCTGTTTTGTTATATTTTAATGTCTTTTTATCATTGTTTGTTATTTTTAATCCTGTACAGGGTCTTGAGTTGCACATTAATTGGGCAGCTATATAAATTAAATAATTAAAAATTGATATTGAAATCATCACTGGGTATTGTAGTCAATCACTCTTCCAGCCGCATCTATTCTGCAGTATTGTCATATAAAAAAAGATGGAAAGGGGAGTATTTATACTTCCATGCATTTCATGAAAGAAATTTAGATAAAACCATATTAAATAAATTGGAAATCATTTAACATAATACTTCTGATCTTTAGAGTAGGTTGCTCCATTTTAAGGACATTTTTTTTTGTTTAAAATACAACCATGATGTGAAAGAAACATAAAAACAGGAAGAAAATATGCAGGAGAAAAAGGGAAGGGAAACTAGATAAGTATTTGCCCATCCAGTATTTCCTTTAAGGAAGGTTGTTGCAGTAACTGAATCCGAAAAACTTTACAACTTCATCCACTGGCTACTATTAGACATTTATCCTAAATATAAATGATAGTTTGTCTTCAGAGGGATTTATTTTAAGTTACTGCGATAATTTCATATTGAGCGTATATGATGATGATGATAATACAATCAATGACAGATCCAAAAGACATTTAATGTAGATTTCTGCCTCATTATCATTACACAATCTTAGCTCTATCTAGATCAGGGGTGTCAAACTCGCAATGTCACGGAACGTGTCATGACATATCGCAACTTTTTTGCCATTGCTGGCAATGGGGTGGGCGCGGTTTTGCTATGATGCATCCGGTCCATGGGCCGGCAGTTTGACACACCTGATCTAGATTGATTAGTGTCACATGTTGTACATGGGCCTACATTTGAGGAGTATACTTTAAGGACTTCTTCATATTCCCACTGCTGAAAAACTGATGGATTCTCTTTATTGCAAGAGATGAAGAGCAACATTTCCTTTGAAAAACAGAAATTTGCATATAAACATTACTGTTTTACGATGTACAATAGTTCACTTAGTGACCATTCTGAGTTACAATAGAATTGAAAAGTGACTTATGACCGTTTTTTCACACAATAGCAGCATCCTCTTGGTCATGTGATCAGAATTTGGACACTTGGCAACTGACTCATATTTATGATGGTTGCAGTGTCCCAGGGTCACATGATCACCTTTTGCGACTCTGACAAGCAAAGCCAATGAGAAAAACAGATTAATTTAACCATGTTACTAACTTAACTGCAATGATTCACTTAACAACGGTGGCAAGAAAGGTCGTAAAATGGGGCAAAATTCACTTAACAAATGTCTCACTTAGCAACAAAAATTTTGGGCTGCATTGTAGTTGTAAATCGAAGACTACCTGTATAAGGCTCTGTTCCATAAATTTTAGCTTTTATTCCAAGTGTGAAACTACTGAGTTCATTATTTTTATTACTTGGCCGAAGAACTAAACTTCCGACACATTTGGAAAATGGTTTTGTGTCTAAAATATTATGTTATATATATTTAGTATATATCTTATGGATTATTTTCTGCTGAAAACAATATAAGCATCTGTTATGTAAATCTCAGGCAGAATCTAGAGAATTGTTGGTGACCATTAAGGAAATAGTTGACTCTGAATATCATGTAAATATGCAACTCATCATGTTGGCTGAGAATTGATTTAGATAGTCTCTGAGCTGACAATCTCACTTAAATTTGAATTAATTCTTTATATTGATGAAAGGAATATATTTCATAATATAGTATGGCTTTAGGAACTTTATATTGCATTTAAATTAGTGACAGAAAGTCTGGTGGCATTTCTCTAATCCTTTTGATAAAAGTACATAGCAAAAGCAGAACAAAAACCAGAGACATAAATTTCCATTGAAATGCAGGAAGAAACAAAGCATAACAAAAATAGTAATATTGCATTTTGCAATACTGTAGTTTTGCTAGGCTGGATTTAAAGTTAGACATACACTGCAATAAATAGGCATGCATTAATTAATATCCAATACATTGCAATGGATCTTTTCTAAATATAGCTAAATGTTTTGCTTTTGTTAAGCCTATTCTGAACCTGCAGACTGATGTGAATTTATGAACCGATCAAGTAGCAGAGATATTCCATTTCTTTTATTTCTTATTAATATTAACCCTTAATGGCTAAAGTTAACTGGATATGTTTAACAGTTCGCCTCAAGACAGGCACCTAGTGTTTGAAAGTATAAGACTACTGTCGCAGGATGATAAATCATGGTTTCGCAGATCATGGTTTGTATCAATTTAGCTGAAAATCATAAAGCAAAGTTTCTAAGGAACTCTCCCATCTTTGTTCAACACTCTTGCTCAATAAAGAGTTCTGAAAACTCAATTGCTTGCACTTCACACATTATCAAATGGTATTGTGAAAGAAATGCTTTGCTGTGAATTTTGGATTTTTCCTTTGCAATGTTAGAAGTAAGTCTTCATCCTGGTTCATCCAAGCCGGGAATAAATAAGCAAACATGGCGACTGCTTTGGGAAGAAGGTTACAGTTTATTGCAGAAGACAGATGGTCCTTGCAAGAAGCAGCAGAGGAGAAGAAATAGAGAAAGCACATGGGTAGAAGGGCTTTTTTATACCCCCTCCCAGCCCTGCTTGGAGTAGTTTCCTGTTCCTGTGGCATGAACTTTGAGGCTATTTCTGAGTGTTTTTCTAGGCCTTGATATCTGTGGTTTAATCCCATTATCATATCCTGCTTCCCAGGTGATGGGGCTAATGACTCTTAAGAGCTTCTTTTGTCTTGAGATCCCTGGCTCCAAACTTCCTGAT